TCTTATCTGCTGTTCTGAAGTGCTGAAGCTGCATTTCCTTGAAAACCTGACAAGGCAGAGAATTATATATTTGATGTATGTGACTCTGGACATTGGTCTAGATGCTTAACACTCTTTCTTCGTGGAGAAAAGCATGTAGTCAGTCTTAAGAACTGTGTCCCACAATTACTGTTGCTTTGAATGAGATAATTTCAAAGAAGGACACACCAACTTTTGTTTCCCCCCTTTGATATTGGGGGAAGGAAAGTCGGCTTATGGAAGTGTGAAGTTGTGAACATGGTATTTGTACAGATTGTTCAACTGATGGTAAATGAGACTGATGGAGGCTCACATGTGAGTGGTGATATTACTCACTGCTGAGTGAGTAGTTGTTTGTGGATGTTGGTCACACTGTTTTTTACTGTTTTTGCTAAGTAGCTAATTCTGTATCTGGGAGAGCTCTAGGCCTGACATAAGGTTAATTTGTTCCAAATGGTATTTTGATTTGAACTGACCATTGGGAAGATAGTTATTGTCCTTGGGTGGTAGGTGCGCAGAGATTAGTTTGGACTTGGGACTTTTAAAAAAGTAATTGAAGTGCTCAGGTATTTCTCAGAATCACACTTCTTGGACATGTTACAATATTTTGCAGATTAAACACTGCGTATGGCACTCAACTCCTGGTGAGAGGCAACATGAGCAGCTTCTTCCATATTGGACAAAATAAATGATCTCTAGAAAGTCAGGGATGGGCCTTGTATGGTATGCATTACAGGGGAAGGGCCTTCCTGCTCTCTGGGTACCAGGGTGAGGTTCTGACTTGCTTTTAGCCTTCACATGTGACTACTGTTCTTCTTGAGGTTAAATCTTATTTACTTACTAAATCAGTGTTTTGAATCTAGAAATGAGTGTGTTTTATAATTACAGTGCATGTTGTAGGTTGCTGAAATGTTAAGAGTTTTCAGCTAATATACTATATTCTTAAAAAAAAAAAAAAAAAAAAAAAAAAATAAAAGCTTCAAGCATTTTGTACTTTGTGGAAGAAAAGGGGGAGGGAGTGGAGGAAGCCCAATAAAATACCCAGAAGGAGCAAAGAAGAAATTCTCAAATTTAAAGTGATCCAAAGTCATCTTAAGTTCATGAACCATCATCGCTGTTTGATGTCAGCACAACTGAGCGGAAGTTTGTGGTTTGTTAGTTAACTGCTGCCATAGATTCAGAACTTCTTGCTGCCTGAGAGCGTGGATGGAAAGCAAGCACAGTGGGCTGCTCACAGCAAACCACACTACAAGCCTTCTGACCGCTTGAGCGGGATCAGGACCCTGCCTCGAGATGAAGCTTCATACTGCGCCTTGCATAAATTGCTGCAGTGTTTCGTACCTGAAATTGTGATAGACTGTGATTAGCAGAGCAGTAGGCAAGCGTATCTGCTCCTGTGTTTCATCATAGGAGGGGGGTGAAGAGAAAAAGCAAGCTCCATCCTTAGAGAGAGAAGCTGCTGCGAGAGAGGAAAAAAAAAAAAAACCAAAAAAAAAACCCCATCATTGCCTCATGTTGTTTTAGCATGTGACCAGTTACAGCAATTGTTGATTGTCTGCATACCGGGAAAAAAATGTCCTCTAGCATAAAAAGTTCACAGTCTCCACTTCAGGTCATTGCAAATAACCTTTCCTCTAAAGGCAGTTATTAAGGAAGTGGACGTCTAATCCAACCTTTAAATATACTTTGCTGAGCCAGAAGAAAATCAGAGAGTGCCAAAAAAGGTTTTTTAAGCATGTAGTAAAGTTCATTTTCTTTCCATTGTTTCTGCTTAATTTGAATATTGAGATATGGCTTTTTCATTCTTTGAAAATAAACATCTACAGGGAAGCAGATAGAAGAAAGCTGAGGATACAGAAGGCTTTAAATGCTCATTTAACACTTTCTCTGTGAGGAGGGTTCTGCAAAATCATCTAGGAAACTCTTCAAGCCATCTTCAAATCTGTTTATTTTTGTGTTTTTTTTTCCCTGTTTAAATACAACAGAAGACCAAGATGTTTTCCTCATTATATGCTTAAGTCCCTCAGAGTAAAAGCTGGCCTGTGTCTGACTGTACAGAATCTACATGGGACAGATGCAGAAGGTTGAGGGGATCGGTTATGGGGTCCCAAGCAGGGGCAACACATGAAGCTCAGGACCACAGTCACAGTTTGTGGAAGTGATTTTTTTTCTCATATCCAGTGGCAGAAGGTGGCAATACCTATCACAGGGGCTAGGGGCTCAGTCATTCTATGGTCAAGGAAATCCTGAGATCAGTATCTCTGATACCAAGCTGTCTTATCTAGTGGGGGAATACTCCATCTGGCATTCCACGCAACCTTAAGCATGTTTGTCATGGAATGCTTGTCTCATTTATTTTCTATCTTATAATATTTCTTACGAAATTTATCTCCACAGTGAAAAACATGAAGGAGAGAAACTTCTGTTCATTTCACAGTATTTAAATTGGTGTTTGTTGTAATGATTTTTAAAGCATCTTTATCTTCTTCATATGTTCATGGTTTCTTGCATCTTATCACAGTTTCTGTAAAGCAGGTTATCTTAGAAATATGTTATTATTTTGTTCCCAAAACTGAAATGTGTTCATTTCGCTTAGGCACATTAAAAATGATGCACCTGTAGCTGCCATTCTTTGGGAAGGATATATATATACACATAGAAAACACTTCCATTTGGCCATCTACCTGGATACAGAATTGTGAGCTTAACTTTTATTTCTTTCATTTCAATTGATTATCATTTCTGTTTATTACTGATCCTTTTCCTTTCCTCTTGGGAGAAATCTGCTTATTGACAGATAGGGAAGATTTAAGTAGATGGCTGTGATCACACTCCTGACCTAGCTAATAGTCAAGTAAGTCAGTGGATAAATACTCTGTAAGAAAGTAATAAGTCTGTAAGAAAAGCTCCATTAAAGGGCCAGTTTTAGTGAACTAATAATACAAGAAAGAAATGGAGAGCCTGTCCTGAAAATGTATTTCTTTTTTATTCTTTGTGGAAATGCTGACTGGTCATTAGTTAATGGTATTATCCATGTGAAGGTATGATGAAAATGGAACACAGAAATCTCTTAGTAGTTGTAAAAGTAATTGAGGCATAGAAATAGCAAAACCATGGTTACACGTAATTTGAGTACCAGTAAAAACATACCTGCCTTTAAAAATATATATGTGTGCCTATGTATAACCTCATCATATATCTGTAACAGGAAGATAAAAGTAACACCGTAAACCTCAGAGTTCCTATGAATGATTTGCTGCTAACGTCAGTATTTTTTTTTTAGAGAATGTGATTATTTAGATCAAACAAACATTCTTTTGGCATTAGTGACGTAGCAGACTCGTGTTTGGTGAGATTTCCTGTTTACTTTGGGTCTGAGCGCAGACATCTCAAGAAAGCGGGTGCTAAAACTTTTATTCCACATCTGCGTAGAAAGGCAGCCAAAACTGATCAGAGATCTGTAACCAACTTTATATAGGTTTTTATTCTTCAGAAAGGAGTAATGGCAGCTGAGGCACAGAAAGCTCATAAGATCCAGAGATGTCTTGGTTTGCTGACTGAGCTAATTCCTGTTTTAATCTTGTAATTATCAGCCAATGTGAATTTGGCAGCCTTGTGAGCTACTGTCATACTTTTCTGAGCTGGGACCCATGTCGATAAATTCCCTTGGAGTCAAAGGACTGGATGGCCATTAAGGATGAACTGCTGCCTACTTAAGAGTTCCCAAGTGGTAGCAAGGCATTGCAGTGGGATTCAGTACTCAGTTTTATTCCATATCTTTTCATGAATTTTCTATTTCAAATCATAACTTCTGTGAGTGTTAATAAATAGAAACAATACATCTTTTTTGTAATTTCTGTATATGATTTATACTTATTAAGTTGCAAGCCTTCTTTAATATATTTTTTTTTTTTCTAAAGGGCAGAAATTATCATCTTGTTTCATTATTGTCCAAATTATAAATAAAATTGGTGATTATATTTATTACTCTGCTGCTACTTTTCCTATTCTGTTGACTTGATTTCTTTGTACCTAATAGAAAAACATAGCCTGCAATAGACTTACCAAATGAATTTTGTTTCTCCTTTGATGGTCTTGAGAAAATAAGATGACTGTTTTTGTAAAGGTGACTTCAGTAAATTTGTATCCTGTGAGGATAAAATGTGTATTTCTACATATTTGATTCTGGTACTATCATGTGGAACAGTATCAACATTGAGACCTGCTTAGGCATTAAATTACTGCTGTATTTAGAGATTCTGCACCTGTTACCTTAGTTTGTGAGGCAAGAAATTGCTGCATATGAAACTATTTGGTAACCTAGATTGGCACTAGAAACCAAAACTGTGTCTTGGAGACCAAGTTAATGACAGCAACAAACATACAGGAAGTAAATAAAGAGGCAAAATCACATGCAGTGTATCCTAGGAAAAACATATGATTTTCATTGAGAAAAAATGACGAGAATCAGGAACAGCTCTGCAGTGGCCTTGGTGAGAATGGACTCTTCTTCATGGGAAGTACTGAGCAGAGGGATGTCTGTCTCTCTGAAAAGCCAGGCTGGGTTCAGCAGCTCCAGCACTCTGTATTCATACTGAACTGAATGAATTATCTTCCTTTTCAAGCTTATACTGCAGGAACTTTACGGAGGGGTCCTTGGTACTCTTCATAGTACTAAGACAATTCTGAGATACCAAGTAGTGTTTAAGTGAAGCTGGATGAGGTTCATGGGGCCTGTCAGCCCAAACTGCTACCAGGTGAATGCTGTCCCCAGGTGCACAGGGCTGTGCCTGAGCTCACGGGGCTGATCCGAGCTGAATGTATCTATGAGCTTATTTGCAATGTCGGATAATACACCTTTGTGTTTTTTAGTGGTAATTGTAGAATAAAGGGGAGAGAAATAGACAACATAACTGAAAATAGTGTTTATCTGTAGTTTACCTTGTACTAGATTTGATGGCAATTATGTTATTTTTTTCCAGGCAAAAGCTACTTCTCAAGAATGCAGATATTCCTGTTATCATGAATACATATTTCAGTCAGAAGGTATTACTCAGCGAACACTTAGAAACAAGCAAGACACGAGGTCCTACAAAGATGCTTATTAGAAAGAATATTGTATCTTTGGCACAGACATTCAAACTAGATGACCTTGACAAGCAACCCCAGGAATCTTCAAATAATCAGGTAAGGCTCATTCATTGGGTTCTTCAGCATTTTGTAAGAAGTTGGCAAGCAGATATTTGGAAATCATAACAAAAACAAAAATTACTGACCTGTTCAGTTTCCGCTTTCATTTAACTAAGGCTGAATAATATGTGATGTTTATTGTAATAATATTTTCTTAGCAGAGGCTTCTGGCCCATCTAACGGCTGAACTGCTGAGAGGTTATTTTGCTGAAATCTCACTACTGTGTTAAATAGTAATTGTAGTTTGTTTTTTCATACATTTTTATTTTATTCTATATAGCTGAGTAGCCAAATTTTATTTGAAGTAAAATCAATTTCCTGATAACTGCTAAGATAGTATCAGCTGAGATATTATTTTTAATAAATATTCCCTTTTTCCACTCCTATTGAACTCATTTCCTAGTCTGTCCTGTTCTTTATTTAATGCATCAGTTGGGAACACCAGCCTCCTTTCCAGCATCTTTACAATTTGTTTTCTTTCCTGTTATAACTTTGTTTATATCAAAATAACTGCTGACTCTCCAGCTGTTGTACAAGCTGAAGTATTTTAAGTGATTTGGCTATCTGATAGTTTGCACCAACACTTTCTTAAAGATTTGTTTGAAGTTTTTGTATTGTCCACCCAAAAATCATTGTTAGCATTTGAGAATTTTGGTCCCAAGAATCTCAAGAACAACACTGAGTGTCATTGTTTTATTTGTCTTACATATATATACATATATATGTATATAATTCCATCTATGAGTGTAAGAATGAAGCAGTTGCCTAAGTCAAACCCTAATTTAATTTCTTGCTGCAGGTCCATCTGATAGAGAGCTGCTTCTATAGTATGTGAAAAACAGAGCAATTTAATTCTTTCCCTGATACTTCCTAGCAAAACCATCTCACTTAAAACTCATTAGACATGTTTCATTGTAACTGCTTTGCAGACAAGCATATCATCACCCCATCATTTCCTTATTAACATTGTATTTCTGCTTCTCAAGTGGTAGATAATACTTATGGTTAGGTTTGTAAAACTTTACATTGCATCCAGCTATAAAGAAAAAGTTTATTTGAAATTAAATAAGAATTTATTCTTATTTGAAAATAAGATTTTGGCTTCTGCTGGTAAGGAGCTTGTACATAGAGTGTTAGTTCATACTTGCAATCAGTTTTTTTACTAAAAGATTTATTTTAGAATGAAAACTAATGCAACTTCTCATTTAAACTGAGGGAAAATAAAACATAATTTTGTACATGATATATATTTGGGAAGTTTAGAGGATTGTACTTCTAAAATACATTTGGGAAATAGCTAAAGGGTGGACTAAGGTTTGTACTTTCAGATTAAGTTTTTATACTTACCATTAATCATCTAATTTTTAAATTGAAACATTTTACTTGAAACATTTTACATTAAAGTTTCTAGACACTTGTTCATTTTCACATAAGTGTGAAAATCTGTAGCATTCAAGACAGATTTTACCTCTCTTTTAGAAAAGGGAGAAACAGAACACTGGAAAAGTAAAAATGAAACTATTCAAGAGGAAGAATCATAAATACTAGTATCAGTTCTCTTTTCCTCCTACTGTCGCCCTAATTTCTCATGGATTGACTTAGCTCATTCCAGAGCAGCAATCAATACAGGGGAGTGCTATGTGCTGTAGTCTCTTTAGCTGTTTATTAAAAATCCTCAATAAACATTGGTCGATAGTATGCAAGTCAGTTTGTATGCAGTAAGTATTTTGAAACTGACCTTGTATTTCTTGCAGAGATTTTTTTATGTTGTGCTTTTTAGCACTCCATAGTTTCACCGTCCCAATAAATATTTCTGTTAATGGATTTTCCTTCATCAGGTGGCTTGTGCTCCACAAATCCATAACACCTGTGATCCTAAAAAGCATCCCTTAGCACTGGGTGCTGTTAATGATTCTCTGCTTGAAATGGTGGAAAGCCAAGGAGCAGTGGGATGGAGAGAAGTGCAGGTACGAGTCGTTATCCAAAGGGTGTACTATTTGCCTGCAAGAGAAGGTTTCAGAAGCCAGATTCAAGGAAACAAGCCTGTCTGTGCTACACCCATCATAAATTCAGATCCACTAAATGTTAGGTAAGTAATAAGATGTGTGGGAGTTAACCTAACGTGCCTGTTGTGTATGAGAAACCAAAGAGGAGGGAGTTTGGAATTGTCATTCTTAGCCTTCAGGTTCCACGAAATAAGTACATTCAACAAGGTGCAGGATTTTCAGTAGTCTTTTAATAGATACAGTGTGAAATAGAAGTAATGCTGTCCACGGGAGGGAGGGATCTGTCTGTATTTGCATCAGCAACTAACAGGAAGACTGAAAATGCATGAAGGGGAACCACTGATGATCATGGGCATTCTATACTGTTTCTTTTGTTTTACAGATTAAGTGTTCTATCAAACATGTCTCATTTACCTATTCCAGTCTCCAGTATGTTCTACTGTGAATTATGCTCATAGAGTCGTCTCTTGGAAGACAGGAGAAATATAGGGAGAGATGGAGAAGCAAAAGGCTTTTCTAAAATGGTATTTTGATCAGACCTCGCATGAGAAACGCAGGCAAACACATGCAAACTGCCACTGTGAAGCCACTCCCGTTGACTTCTGGAAGTCCAGAAGTCATGGCAGTTCATCTGCTCCATAGTAAAAAGTGATCTGGTGTCAAAACATTAACACCAATCAGGAATCTTGTATGCAAAACTGTAGAGCATACAGATTTAGATTAGTGTTCTCAGCTGCTTCTATTTTAATCTTTGCATCCTGACACTGGTCTGCCTTTAGTGTAGGGAATCAGAAATGAGACCTTGTTTTTGTCAGTACAAAAGATAGACAGGGAAGTTTTCCCTTTCGACCTTTTAGAATCCTCATGGTTTGAGACCAAAGATAGATTTTCAAGTCTTTCTCAGCAACTCTGGATCTAAGATTACTGTGTCTGTTGTTGTTTTTCCTTCCTCCAGGGTTTGTGCTAACTTTTTGTTCTAGATGGGTTAACATTTTATAAGCTTTATTTTAACTTAAAGTAAGTTACAGTGGCAGGGCTTTTATTAAGCTTGTAAGTACAGTCTTTCAAGGAGACTGTAGATCTCTATTAGGAGATCTTTCTTCCTGCAATTAGTTTGAAAGATCCTTCTGAGAACTGCAAATGTAGTTTGCAATAGGCTTTGAAGAAATTCTTCAAAGGTTGGAAGAATTTCAGTTCCTCTAAGCCACACTGCTGATGGTTGTACCATGTTCACAGGTCCTTCTTGAGTTTTTGGAGTACTGGAATTCTCCTAATTCTGACTACCTTGTAAATCACTGGATGTGGACCAACGTATGGCACTCAATGTTCAATAATATTTTTCCAGGAGGAATTTAGGAAGATTGCTCTTTCCTAAGAAGCATATTCAGTAATCACTCTCAGAAAAGTAATTGTCAACAGCCTTGCCTCTCATGTTTTATAAAAGTTGCATGGGTTTAACTTGCATTATTTTAAAAACATAGCTGGCACACCTTGTTGTGTAAAGTCATTGCTCTATAATTTAATTTTTGCTATTTTATGCATTAAAAAAAAAAAAGATAGGCAAGGGTGTTTATCAATCCCACATCAGTCTTTGATTTTGAGAACAATATTCCTCTGTGTAGGTTTTCTTCTAAAACATTTGATCAAAAGTCAGGGCACTTGACAGTCTGTTATTCAAGTTGGTTTTTAACGCCACTGATTCCAGCAGAGGACAAATGATAGCTCTCCATTATTACTTTTCAACTTCTGACCAAAAGTGTGCCTAACACTCGATCATACAATTCTTGATAGTTAGCCTGCCTAAGTCTGCACTCTTCACAGGAATGGGGTGAAACAACACAAATCTCAGATTGCACTTCTTATGCCAAACTTGAAATAGAAATTAAAAAAAAAAAAAAAAGAGAATATGTTGTAGCTGGGTATTCTCATGTGCAGTTGTTGAACTGGCCTATTGGAAATTCCTCAAATTCTGTCGATGTTTTTTGTTCAAAAAAGACCTTGGTGGCTGTCATTTGCAGCAATTAGAACTGCCTTTTGCATCCATGTGGTCTGAAGAGAAAAAATCAACCCCTTTTGTCTTTGAAAGAAGGAGAATTAAGACTTTTAAAGATTGAAGAACAGAAAACACCTCATACTGCTTTATCTATCAGCTGCTATTTTCATGGCTGATAAGCATCCGCACGAGACATTTCTCCTCTATCAAAAAAGTCTGTCTGTCACCTGATAGTGAGTAAAAAAGGTTCAACACCCTCTGACAGTCCTTTGAACCAAGTAATGGCCCATGCTTTTGTAAAGAAAGCCTTTTTTTCTTTGTTAACTTCTTTTTCTAAAGTAAAACTGCCATAAAACCAACATTTGTAAGATAATTCACTGTTTTGTAAAAATAAGTTTCTAATTAGATATCAAGGTAGGTGAGTATTTACTTGATTTGTATTGTTGTAGGCTGTTGTATTTATTCTGTTGTAGCATGCAGTATAATCTAGATGCTGTTGCCTCAGGGAGTATGAGAAACACAGAGAATCAGAGACATGAAATGAAATGTCAAACAGGGGAAGTGATGCATTTTGTTCAAAGCATCCACTTTCTAGAAAGAGTCTGACAAATTGTGGGAGAAATGTATGTTTTTAGTGTTCAAATTGATTTATTGAATTGTTTAAAGCTCAAGTGGGAAAATGCCTATAGGTATGTATCTTCTGTTGTTTGTGAAGATAAATACATAGACTATAGCCTTTCACTGGTAGGCAAATGGTTAAGCCTTTAAGTCTGACTTTACTTACTACTTCAGTAAGACTGTGTGTTTAGCTGAATTGTCTCAGCATTTTCTTAGGATGCTCAGAAACCCAGCGCCTGAAAAGTTCTCCATTTTCTGTCATACTTAAATTGTTCTCACATTCCCTGCGTTATTACTGAATCATTTGCCTTTCCCTCCTGTAATTAGCTGTTCTTGCAAATGGGCTTTTCATGCTTAAGTTAAGAGTTTCGGGGGGGTGAGGGGTAGGCTGGGAGGGAAGAAAGTATGACTTGCTTTGACTGTCTGCCCCTTTCCAGCATTCCTGACATACTTTTTGCTGCCTTTTCCCCTTCTGATGAGAAAGATACTTTTACAAGTGACACAGCGTGTATTTGTTGTACAGTACAACACAAAAAACGAATTATTTTGACTTTCTGAAAAAGGCCTGACTATGGGTACATGAATCCCAGAGAGAATCCTGTCAACCTGAGGAGTTTTCTGGCTTTGAGGTGTCTGACTCATTCTGTCGGCCTTGTACTTTGCGTTCCTAGGATAAAGCAGTGTATAATTTGGATTTTACTCTTAGCCAGTATCTGTTTGTTTTGAGTGGGCCACACGAGTTCAGTAAAAAATAGACAGTCAGTTCTGTTCCTTAAAGGACAGGGATCATTGTGTGATAGTTGGTGAAACTAAAATAGATGCGTTTTCAGGACTGGTAGGGGGGTTAAACTGGCCAGAAACCCAATCTCACAAGATTTGGGTTAGGAAGCAGGGCTGAGAAGGGTGTTGTCTCCTAAGAAGGAAAAGCTAAGCACTTCTAAAATAAAACAATGCTGGCTATAGCTGTGAATCCAGATTTTAAAATCTTTGTGGGTGAGTAAAGAAATGTTCCGTTCACTTCTCTTGGCGTATATTTTGACCTACTTCCCACCTGAAAGCTAACTTTCAAGGCTACCGTGAATGTATTCCAAGAACAAAAGAAAGACACTACATTTACTTTAAAAAATTATCCACTACCCATCAATAGTTCTTTCAGTTTTACTTTTTATTTTGTTTTCAATCTGCCACATCTTAGAGAAGCAGAAAGACCAGCTACTGTGCAAGTAGGACCCTTGGGGAGCAAAATATGTAGAAGAGCCAAGCATTTGTTAGAGTGGCTCAAAGAAGCAGGAGTGTGGGGAAAGTAACGTTTCTCTTTCTGAATGGAAACATTGATGTCTATTGCTGGGATTCATTACACTCTCCCAAGTTGTTGCAAGCTTCTGTGTCGTCTGTTCCTGTGTGATTCTGCTTAAAACAGCTTTACTGGCAAAGGGTAATCCCGTAGAACTAATTCATTTCAAAGTTAGATTTCCTTTCTCCTCTCTTTCTTGATGGTCTTTGCTGCTTATCTTAACATGAATGTAGGCAACATGTTAACCTGCCTGGCTGCATGCACTGCTAAAAATTGAGCATCAAGTGCTGCAACTAGCGTTTTGAGAAGGTAGACCAGTTTGAAAAGCAGTATTGAAAAGTAACCATTCTGGCATGGAAAACTTACCTTCAATTTCGTAAGACATACTTAAGGGGAAAAAAAAACGCCCCCCCCCCCCCCCCCCCCCCCGGCCCGCCAAAAAAACCCGGGGCGGGGGGCCAGGACTAGGGAGAGGAGGGTAAAAAAATAGAAATCTTATTTGAAAATAGCCCAGATTGCAAAGGACTGTCATGAAAAATCCATGCTCACAGATGCTAACATCTGTCAGAGTGTTTTTTGTGGCTGACTTAAATCTGTTTACAGCATTCCATTTGTTTTTTTTTTGAGGGTTTTTTTTTTTTTTTTTTTTCCCAACAAAACATTTTAAATGGGATGGTCATAAATGCAAGGTTTTTTTTTTTAAATTACATTATGTTTCTGGGATGTGATTTTTCAAGTGGGAAGTAAACAGGAAATAGGTAACTGAAGTGCAGTAGAGAGTACTCCATGAGCTAGAAATTCTCTCTGATTTCCCTTTTTCAGACCCTTCTCGGAAATGAAGATACTGTGCTTTTAATATTCTTGCAAAGTAGTCTAATTGCTACTTGACAGGCTTGTAATAGTTCTCATAACAGCTGTGGTTCAAGGTCTAGGAACCTGTTTCTGCTTTGAAGTTTTTGTTTGTTTGTTTTGTTTTTAAAGCACTTTTAAGACTCTCTGACACTTGGATATTCCTTCTTTCTTCCACCCTGCTCTTTTGTAATTCTCAAACTGGAGCTACCAAAACAAAGAGTAAAGACAAAAGACTTGGAAAAACAGCTTTGGTATCATGTTATCTAGCTGACACATTAAACTGTATTGCATATTTAACACTGTGGATTCCCTGTGCACTTGCCCAG